TTTGGTGCCAATGAGGAGAACCTCGGTTTTGTCACTGTTCAGTTTGAGGAAGTTGCTGGAGAATCAGGATTTGATTTCTGTTGATTTAGTCAGAGAGGGAGGTGGGTGAGAGAGCTGAGGTAGGTTTTCTGGACTGGTAGAGCTGTGTGTCATCCGCATAGCAGTGGAAATGGGTGTTAAATTGATAGAATTTTAAGAGGAACTAGATACACTCAAAAAATTATTCAAGCCCTTCTTAGAGGTGACACATTTAAATATGATTTGCATTATTTAAATATAGCCTATCTATTTATATTATATGTATATTTATTTAAGTTGTTTAACAAAAATGTATTGATAGCTTCAGCTATGTTACGTTAGATCGCCAAATAAAAGTTTCATTCGGACAATGAGTATGTGTGAGACCGCGTGCTCTTTCAGCCCATCTCTCCATCCTCTGGCTGCAACCAACACAAAGGCAAAGTTTCAGGGATGCTGCAAAATAAAAGGTGAAAATCCACTACTTGGTAAGTGTACGTTCATTCCGTAATACTGACCGAGATGTATACAACAGTTAAATGAGACGAATTTCACTCCAGTTGGAGGGAGTTGGCTGGCTAACGTTAATTTTAGGTGGCTAGTTTGTGTTTGTGTACTTTTAACATTACTATTTAACGTTAGTGACCGTTGGATGCCACATTGACTGCTTCGGTACATTGTTACAGTAAGTTACCTGTAGACGAATAAAAGTAACAACGAGTAACTTAGCTGCCGATTTTCTTTGAGTGTACGATTCCAGTATGGTGGCGACAGGCTTTTGGCAGCCACAGACCAAAGTGGTCAATGTCACGTAACGGTAGTTTAGATGTCGATGGCTCGTTCTGTGTTTTGCATTAAGGCTGTGGGTGTACACTCCTGGTTAGTTATGACAGCCTGCCACCTTAGCTGCCGAGACCGGGCTGTACACTGGGCAGGTACGTGTGTTTGTCACATAACGTTATGGTGTCAATGTAAGGACGCAGAATAAGGGTCTTTGGCTCAGCGATGTCTGCCAAAGTCTCTGAAACACCTGGAGATGGCTTATGGTAGAGAAATGAGGGCAACAGCTCTGGTGGACATTCCTGCAGTCAACATGCCAATTGCATGCTCCCTCAAAACTTGTGACATCTGTGGCATTGTGCTGTGTAATAGAACTGCACATTTTCGAGTGGCCTTTTATTGTGGCCAGCCTAAGGATCACCTGTGCAATACCTATCCTGTCTGATCAGCATCTTGATATGCCACACCTGTGAGGGGGATTATCTCAGCAAAGAAGTGCTCTATGACACAGATTTGTGAACAATATTTGAGATGAATAGGTCTTTTGTGTACATAGAGAAAGTCTTAGATCTTTGAGTTCAGCTAATGATGAATATTTTGGTACCTTGATTTCCCTCTTTTGTTATACAATGTTCAGTCTCTAAACCAATTATTTAGCCAATTTTAAATTAGTTTTAAAACTACTTGGTAAGAAGCAAAACATTGCAAACAAAAACAAACTTTCATTCCAGGATTTTCAAGGGCACCCCCCTTGATAGCGGAAGACTAGAAACACCATTTACATAATCAGTGAACATTTCAAATTAGCTATATACACTTATCCATACTTTAGATTTGATATTGGCAGTACTTAGCTATATTCTGTCACTTTTCATACATACAAGTACAGTACAGTACATAGACTCCATATCTATATGTAACTCCACTAAGAATGATCCTTCCTGGTAACCTGCTTACATTTTTGGCATTGGACCATAGTAATATTTTGTATTTTATGTTTGCACAATATATTTATACTTTCTTACTTTGTATTGCAACTGTTGCACAACAATTTCCCGCAGGAGTTCTATCTTATCATAGCTATGTATTTCTTGGAACCTACACATAAATTTCACAAAATTATAGCTGATCGCTGACTGTCACTTCACTGTGGTCAAGACACAACGAGTTTAATGGACAAGTTTTCTCTAATAATGTGGCTGTTCATGGAAAAAATGTAATTGTGCCTATTAGAGACAGAGAGACGGAGAGATTGTGTTGCTTTGGCTAGTGCCAGCAAGACCTCTGTAATCATCCACCTCATGTTTCTAGCAAAGCAACCTTAAAAACCTTCTCAGAGTAGAAAATAGCCCCAACTGGCCAAAAATCCCCAGACTGACATATATTTGAATCTGTTTTTAGGCTGATGAGCACAAGTACTTCATAAACATTTTTAACCAAAGCAATAATCCTGATCTCTACAAACTGAGTGGTCAATGTCACGTAATGGTAGTTTAGATGTCGATGGCTCATTCTGAGTTATGCATTAAGAGGGAACAAAATATGGTGTTATTAATGAAACCATGTCAACCTGTTCTGGGAAAACCTCTCAATAAAATGATGAATGTGAAAATGAGCATAATATGACCACTTTAAACCTGAAATCCAAACTTTCTGCACACTGTCGCCCTCTACAGCAGTGAGGAAACTGAAATGATGTTCAAACTACAGAGTTACTGTGGAAGCTGGCTGTTCAATCATCCACTGCAACACCTTTAAAATTATACATCTAGCAAAGTATAATAGAGCGGGGCTTTGTTTAATTTCAATCATTTTAAATATATGACTGGATGCTGTGAAATTCTTAGCTTCGAGTTTGATGTGTCTGTTTTGGAAAGACTTTATTGGCTTTTGTACCAAGGACAGGCATGACGTGAAAGGGCAATCAGTATTTCTTAAAAGCAATGTATTACATAAGTTAAAAAAAGTTAAAATAACATTTTGCATACCAAGATAAATCTTGAGCGTATGCAATATACAGTGGGGAGAACAAGTATTTGATACACTGCTGATTTTGCAGGTTTTCCTACTTACAAAGCATGTAGAGGTCTGTAATTTTTATCATGGGTACACTTCAACTGTGAGAGACGGAATTTATAACAAAAATCCAGAAAATCACATTGTATGATTTTAAAATTTTATTTTTAAAATAATTTTACATGTAATTGCATGACGTAAGTATTTGATACATCAGACAAGCAGAACTTTGGTACAGAAACCTTTGTTTGCAGTTACAGAGATCATACGTTTCCTGTAGTTCTTGACCAGGTTTGCACACACTGCAGCAGGGATTTTGGCCCACTCCTCCATAAGACCTTCTCCAGAGCCTTCAGTTTTGGGGATGTCGCTGGGCAATACGGACTTTCAGCTCCCTCCAAAGATTTTCTATTGGGTTCAGGTCTGGAGACTGGCTAGGCCACTCCTTAGTTGCCCTGGCTGTGTGTTTCGGGTCGTTGTCATGCTGGAAGACCCAGCCACGACCCATCCTTCAATGCTCTTACTGAGGGAAGGAGGTTGTTGGCAAAGATCTCGCGATACATGGCCCCATCCATCCTCCCCTCAATACGGTGCAGTCGTCCTGTCCCCTTCACAGAAAAGCATCCCCAAAGAATGACGTTTCCACCTCTATGCTTCACAGTTGGGATGGTGTTCTTGGGGTTGTACTCATCCTTCTTCTTTCTCCAAACACGGCGAGTGGAGTTTAGACCATAAAGCTCTATTTTTGTCTCAGACCACATGACCTTCTCCCATTCCTCCTCTGGATCATCCAGATGGTCATTGGCAAACTTCAGACAGGCCTGGACATGCGCTGGCTTGAGCAGGGGGACCTTGCGTGCGCTGCAGGATTTTAATCCATGACGGCGTAGTGTGTTACTAATGGCTTTCTTTGAGACTGTGGTCCCAGCTCTCTTCAGGTCATTGACCAGGTCCTGCCGTGTAGTTCCGGGCTGATCCCTCACCTTCCTCACGATCATTGATGCCCCACGAGGTGAGATCTTGCATGGAGCCCCAGACCGAGGGAGATTGACCGTCATCTTGAACTTCTTCCATTTTCTAATAATTGCACCAACAGTTGTTGCGTTCTCATCAAGCTGCTTGCTTATTGTCCTGTAGCCCATCCCAGCCTTGCGCATGTCTACAATTTAACCCTGATGTCCTTATACAGCTCTTTGGTCTTGGCCATTGTGGAGAGGTTTGATTCTGTTTGAGTGTGTGGACAGGTGTCTTTTATACAGGTAACGAGTTCAAACAGATGCAGTTAATACAGGTAATGAGTGAAGAACAGGAGGGCTTCTTAAAGAAGAACTAACAGGTCTGTCAGAGCCGGAATTCTTACTGGTTGGTAGGTGATCAAATGCTGCAATAAAATGCAAATTAATTATTTAAAAATCATACAATGTGATTTTCTGGATTTTTGTTTTAGATACCGTATCTCACAGTTGAAGTGTACCCATGATAAAAATTACAGACCTCTACATGCTTTGTAAGTAGGAAAACCTGCAAAATCAGCAGTGTATCAAATACTTGTTATTCCCACTGTAACTGCAATTCAACTTAAACCTTCTGCTACATGCTGCTGCTGAATGCCTGCTGCTAATGAAAACTAAAACTAAAAATGTTCGGAGTTGAAGGTAAATGTATCCACTTTCCCCACAGCCCCTCGTTCTCCACTGGAATACTTCTCTCTGTTTCCATCCAGGTGAGTCCCCTCTGCTGTGACTGCATCAGTAGAAAGTCACATACAATTTGCTGAAGCGCTGATATAAACATGATCAGATTCCAGCTGATGGGAGAGAGAAAAAAGTCAAAGTAAATTTTTATATTAAAATTTATGTAGAAGCTGACAAAATACATCCCTTTGGTAGAGAAAGTTCTGTCACTGTGGCCCAACAGCTTTCTCACCTCTATAGTCTCCATGCATTCATTTGTTTCAGCGGTGGAGCTCAGAGTTGTCTTCTTCCTGAATTGATAAAAAAATAAAGAAACAAATAAATTAGATAAATGAAATAGATAACTCCAAAACTATGAAAGAAAATAATCAAAATTATGGATCTGATTCTTAATTATAATTCACCTCATCAACAGACAAAACATAAGTAGAGGAATCAGCATCACAACCACCAGAGTCAACCTGATGATGTTTATTATCATTGTTGATTTGTCTAGAAATGGAGATAGACAGTTATAAACTGTGCTGGATCTTGCCAGGTCTGATTCATGAATGAATTTGATAGGTGATACTGTCTCTTGATCAGCCAGGTGGTGTCATGGAGAAACGTACCTGCCACAACAATCAGATGTAAGGTGGAGTTATGACGTCCTCTTCTGTTCTGGGCTTCACAGTAATAATTCCCACTGTGTTCAGCTCTCAAGTCAGTGATGGTGAAGTTCTGTCCTGATGCTTTTGGTGAGTCTTCATTCTCCTTGTACCAGGTGTATTTAGCTGCTGGGTTAGCATCACTGCTGCAGGTCAGAGTCACTGAACTGCCCTCCACTATCTCAGCAGAGGGACTCACTGACACAGAGGGAAGCTTTGGAGCATCTGGGGAATATATATAGAAATATTGAGAGTTTTTAGTTAAACAAGGTTGTTGTTTTGAGTGTCAGCTACTGGAATTTTGTACTAAAATGACTCTAATTGTGGAAGTTACAGTTGATTCATGTAACTCAGACTGCTGAAGCTTCAAATTAGCTTCAACTGAACTGTGGAACGCATGTTGCTCTACAAAGGTGGCTCATCTTTGCCAGGAAGAATGATTAGTGACCAAAACAACTTTAATGTACAAATGGCATGTGAGTATACTATAAAGTTAAAATTGAAAATATCTCAAATTATGCTTTATACCCCTTGTGATGCTACTTTAGAAGGTGTTATTTGTTCTACCTGCCTAAGCTTATCAGACGTTTTCGTCCACTATCTGTAATTAAACACATTGTATGTGGAAGTGCTTTGCTGATGTTTTGTACTTACACTGGACATCTATGGATACAGATGTGGAGTTGATCTGGCCCAACTCATTCTCAGACTTGCAGTGGTAGATCCCGCTGTCCTTAGAGCTGATAGAGGTGAAATTATAAACGTCTTCTGGTCCCTGAATCAGTGTTTGGTTCTCCTTGTACCAGGTGTATTTAGCTGCTGGGTTAGCATCACTGCTGCAGGTCAGAGTCACTGAACTGCCCTCCACTATCTCAGCAGAGGGACTCACTGACACAGAGGGAAGCTTTGGAGCATCTGGGAGAGAACATGTAGAGAAATACAACAGTTTTCAGGCAAACATGGTTGTTGTTTTGAGTGCCATCTTCTGGGAGGGTCACCAAAGAGAAACATTAATAACAGATTAACAGGATATGTCATAATTCACCTGATGCCTTATTTACTAATGCGAAAATGAAAAAACGAAATTCAACTCAAGAGTACTGATGATTGGATGTTATTGAGTCTTGATCCAACACCAACTGCTTAGTCTGTTCCTCCTGCTAATAATGTCATCAGCCTCTCTTCCACGTCCAGCACTGTGCCATGATTGCTGACATAAAAGTGTAAGTAAAATCTTATCCTGCAAAGACTGGACATATTTAAGCCTTTTTTTTTCTTTTTTTTAAAGTTGTTTCACTCACATTTCACATTAATGATGTATTTAGTTGTCTTCCTCCCCAGCTGGTTCTCAGCTGCACAGTAATACTCTCCAGAGTCAGAGGACTGGATGGAGCTGAAGACAAGCTGTGGTTCTTCACTGAGCAGAGTTTGGTTTTCCTTGTACCAGGTGTATTTAGCTGCTGGGTTAGCATCACTGCTGCAGGTCAGAGTCACTGAACTGCCCTCCACTATCTCAGCAGAGGGACTCACTGACACAGAGGGAAGCTTTGGAGCATCTGGAGGAGATATAAACATGTTTTACTTAAAGATTAGAATATGTTATCATATATGATTGACTCATTTCATTAAAAACTCCTCTGTGTTTGTGTATTTTTGATTCTCTCTAGTATTTGTCACAGTGGCCAATAACAAGCCTTTAATCATTTGTAATTTTCAACGACTCCAAACATTTGTCTCTATTTACAGGATGCTGGTTGTGTTCAGGTCCTTTTTTGCTGAGTCAGTCTTCCTGACAGTCTTCTCAGTTAAGTTGTTGTTGTTGGCAGCTGAGTCTACATAATAGACTGTATAAAATGATTTGGGGTTGGGAGCTAACTAGTGTTGTGTCGTTCAAGAACGTTTCGTTTATAAGACCTAATCGTGTGTATGACTCGGGAGGAACGGGTTGTCTCAGTGAGTAATTCGTTCATTTTCACGCATGCGTGAAGGATCTTGGACTCTTACGTTCACTCATCACACGGCAGCTGCATGGGCTCCGTCAGCACAGGAAACAGTATTGATTAGTTCACGACTCTCAACTGTGGGTCTGTATGAGTCGTTCATTTGTCACGTGACAGCTCGCTACTGTGGAGCAGGCATGAACGACTCGTTCACCGCTCACATGGGTCCTCCTCAGTCTTTTGTTCATTCGGCAGAGTGAGTGACTGCCAGCGCCGGAGAATGAGAGGCAGGTCGGCTGTCAGGTAACAGTCACTGGACTGACATTATATAGCTATTTTGTTAATTATGTGACATTATAAAGCATAACGTTATTATTAAGTTATAGTTTTAACACAGCCGCACCGTAACTTTAGTCCTGCTAGTGTTTACAGCCAACAGCTGATGAGAGTTGTTCTGTGTCCGCTCCACTTCAGAGCCCTGACAGGGTATATTTATATGTAATATAATGTATTATATACATAAGCCTTTATATGGCTGGTCTGGTTGTATACTATTCGGGAAAGATTGTGAAAATGGAAGGATTTAGCCGGTTAGTGGTGATTACATATTGACAACATATTTCTGTGGTTTTTACATGGTTTGAATTTGGTTGTGGGCCCAGGGGGGTTTATATAATTATGATGGAGAGTGATCAACAGGTGAATTTGTGCATTATACTTTGTCAATTAAAGCAAACCAGGTAACCTTTCGTGTTTGAGAACAGCGCTGTTTTTTAATCGCCCACTAGAGGGCTGCAGCGCCGCTACGAAATGACTGAAAAAAAGATTAGTTCATTTTAATGAACGAGATTTGAAGATTCGAGTCTGTCAAAAGAGTTGGACTTGCCATCACTAGAGCTAACCTTAAATTAAAAGGCTCTTATTAACACACTCCATCTTGTACTTTCTTTACATCATCTTCACAACTCAGAATGCAACTACACACTTGCTATCTTTATAAGACTGAACAAGAATCTTCAGTCTTGGTTGTGTTCAGATCCTGTTCCAGAGTTTTAGTTTTTTTGTAATAGTTTGCAAATGTATTGTAAAGTCTGTGTTTTTTTCCTGACACAGTGCAGTAAACTCACACACTGAAGGAGAGGGGAAACCCTCCTGTCCTTTTACAGCACAGGAATAACTGTCTGCAGGATAAACATTGACTGAATAAGATGATGTTTTTGTCTGAACTTTCTGTCCATTCTTGAACCAGATGTAGGAAGAATGATCAGGTGGACGACAGCTGCCGAGACACTTCAGCTGTGCCATAGTATAAATCTGGTGGACTGTTGATCTGATCACCTGCACCTGGAGATCTGGATCTGTGAAGAAGAAACAAAACTGTCAAAATACCCACATGAAAAAACAAACATGACACATTTATATTATTGTTTCCTAGATTTTGAACACTAGGAAATAATTAATGAAAATGTTACCTGTGACAGACAAAGTGACTCCAGGTGAACCAGTAAATCTTCCATCTGGCTGGTTTGTTATGAACATGAACTTGTACTCAGCTGAGTCGCTCTCTCTCAGGTCTGTGATTCTCAGAGTGCAGATGTTGTTAGAACAACTGTTCTGCAAACGACCTGCGTATCTTAAGTCTGTTTTCAGATCCACAGGTACATATCCATTCATCTGAGTAAACCAGAATGTTTCTTCAACTGTAGTATCACGGCCATTTATTCTGGATGGGTATGTGAGGGTGCATCTTATTTCCACTGTTGATCCTTTTAAGGCACAGATCTGAGTAGAAGTGTAAGTCACTCTCCAGCCATTCTGACCTTGTATCACTGTAACAGACTCAACACCATCAGACTTCTATTTGTAGTAGAGGTGCTTCAGTGTGTGAAAATACATTTACAAAAACTACTTTGGCTTCAATGCCATCCCACTGTAAGTAAATGTTAGGCACGATAAGTGCCAATAGGTGTGTTTGAGGTGACTGGCTGACTTTTGCCGATTTGATAGAGACGTGGTATAAAAATGGCGCTGTCAGTCGGACACGTTCTAGCTGTGTGAGCTAACTGTGAGCTGAGATCAATGACTGATCTTGTGGCATTTGCAAAAAAAAAAAATTGCTGCGAGATCAGGCAACAGGTGGTTCTTCCTTTGTGCATCTGAAGAAGATTTTAATGGTGACATTTTGCAGCGGCAGCAAAAATCAGACAATTTCTAACCAGCATGCCCTATTTTTTGTTCAGAATCAGGTTTATTACCAGGTACATTCTCACATACGAGGCATTTGCCTTGGTATAAATTGGTGCTTACAGTACACATGGAACAAATAGAAATGTATAAAAAGTAAAGACAACAAAAAAAATGTACAAGCACACAAAAATTAAATGCTATAATACAGTGCTGACAGGCGTGTGTAAACGTTCACAACATGAGCATAAAACACAGTTGAGTGTTGTAGTTACGATTCGTGGGCAGGAAACAGGTTGGTTGGACCCAAACACAGACACAGGAAACAGGCAGGTTCAGTTCAAGAGGTTTATTCCAAAAACTAAAGCGAGCACACGTACAGACTGAGTAGCTGAGTCCAGAGAAATCCAAAGGCATTAAATCCAAATGAGCAATGAAACAAAAATCCAAACAGGTAATCAAGACTCCATGAGACAGGCAGGAACATGAGCTGGGAAATAGCAGGACAAGACGCCGAACGAGACAGGGAAACTGAAGCCAGGGAGTAACAATGACCAGACAAGGACTGAAGACAAACAGCAAACATTTAACACTAGGGGCTAATGAGCAGGGCGGGAGCAGCACAGGTTACCGGGATCAGGACTTAAGAGACAGAGAGTCAGCAGGGGAAAACAGACAGACACCAATGAACTACCACTAACAGACTGACCTAAGATTAAACACAGAACACAGAGCAAACATGGCCAAAATAATACAGGAGTAGCAGGAGTAAGACAAACATGAACTAAAGCACAGAACAAGAACTAAGGCACTGGACTAAGAACTGAGGCAAAGAACTAAAATGCAGAATAAAGACTTAAGCTAAGAGACAAGACATAAATAACTAAGGACAAAGCACGCGAGAAACAGAGGCAAATAGGTGGCAAACACATGAAACTATGGAAAAAACTCAAACATAACCCAAAACTAAACTCATAACAGTTGTAAAGTGTGGGTTCAGGAGGGTGTGTGTGTGTTTGGGGAGGGGGGCATGAGAGTCAGTGACAGTGGGGACCTGGGCCTTGTTGAGGAAGCCCACTGCAATCGGAAAGAATCAGTCCTTGTGGTGAGAGGTTTTGGTCTTGATGCACCGCAGCCTTCTGCCAGAGGGGAGTGTTTGAAACAGTTTGTGTCCGGGGTGGGAGGGATCAGCCACAATCTTTGCTACACGCCTCAGAGTCCTGGAGGCGTTCAGGTCCTGGAGAGATGGAAGGTGACAGCCAATCACCTTCTCTGCAGAGCGAACGATACGCTGCCTGTCCTTGTCCCTGGCAGTGGCAGCAGCGTACCAGATGGTGATGGAGGAGGTGAGGATGGACTCAATGATGGCGGTGTAGAAGTGCACCATCACTGTCTTTGGCAGGCTGAACTTCTTCAGCTGCCGCAGGAAGTACATCCTCTGCTGGGCCTTCTTGGTGAGGGAGGTTATGTTCAGCTCCCACTTGAGGTCCTGGGAGATGATGGAGCCCAGGAAGCGGAAGGAGTCCACAGTGGTGACTGGGGAGTCACAAAGGATGATGGGGGAGGGTGGGGCTGGGCTCTTTCTAAAATCTACAATCATCTCCACGGTCTTCAGAGCGTTAAGCTCCAGACTGTTCTGGCTGCACCAGCACACCAGATGGTCGATCTCCCACCTGTAGGCGGACTCATCCCCTCCCGAGATGAGCCCAATAAGGGTGGTGTCTGTTCGGTCTGCATGAGCTGTGCGTCGTGCATGTTGGCCTGCGGTGGAATGTAAACAGCGAGCAGAAAGTAGCTAGCTAACTCGCAGTGAGAATAGAATGGTTTAAAGTGTATCAGACAGAGCAGTGAAGAAACAGCAATGTCTGAAACAGTGCACTTTAACACAGTACTTACTGAACAGGATGAAAAACGCTGAATATTAAATAGTAGAAGGATGTAATACATAAAATAAATAGTCTTCTTGCTCAGTTGCTTTCCTTCCTGTGGTCAACCTGCGGCAGCGTGTGAATAGAAACACTGAGGTGTGATAGTGTATGTGTAGTGTACAAAGCAAATGAAACAGACATGTTCTAGAGAGAGAAATTGCCAAATCTACTGAGGTTTAAAAAGTAAACTATAGCTGTATTCAGGAAGGAGGTAAAGGTAAACTCTATCTGTAGCCTAACTATCATTTTTAAAGCATTTGACTGGTAATGACTTTGAAAACACAAATACACACAATTCAGATTGTTCACAATCAACATTTTGTATAGTTCAGTTGTTAAAGTTTACATTATTAAGGTATAAGCATACAGCGATAGTGCTGGTGTAAAAAACATACACGTCTCTGTTGGTCGTCTTGAAATAACTTTAATTTAAAGAAAGAGAAGTGAATGTCGCACACAGGCACGGAGCTGATTGCTCATTGCAGAGGGGGCGAGGACTTCTAGTAGGCACTTTTTTCACACTTAATTTGTTACACAAAACAGAGAGAAACCTGAAATACAGCTCTGAGCTGCTTTCACATCTGTAGTTCGCTTCTCCTCACCCAGACCAGGCCATACTGGACAGACTAAGGCCATAACCTCAAGCAAGGGTCGTCACCAGGTGGCTCCACCAGGGGATCTCGGTGTTGAGAAACCCAACCAAGTAGGCTAATCCTGAAAACTTTTCTGAGGCAAGAAAAGATCGTTCAGCTGTTCCTGGTATGGAAGCAGAGACTGGCTGAAATATTCTGTTCTGTATTTAGATACTGCATACTGCTACCCGTGTAGAATGTTTTGAGTACCCTCCTCTCCCACAAACACCACCTTTACGATTAGCGGATCTTGCGACTGAGGACTTAAAAATCATTCAGCGTCAAAATAACACTAGATTTTGAAGCTATGTGGAAGGAAAAGGAGAGTCAGATTCAGGCCCGTAAAGAAATCCCAACTTTAATCATGCAGAACATTTGGAAGGCGATAGATACTACTTGTCATCAAAAATTACTGTTTTCGAGTTCCTTGCAGTGAACCAGCTGCCTTTTAGAGGTTACCATGATGCTTTTGATAGTATGGTTGACAATGGATGCGGATTATTTTTGTCTATATTTGAGTATTCTTTGTGGAAAGTTGGCCAAGATAGCGCAGACAATCCCACACAATGTTGGGTATTCTAGCCATTCAAAACAGTTTGATAGAGATAATGAGTACTTTGGTCACGGAGCACATGGTGAAAATAGGTTGGCAAGTTGGTTTATACAAAAAAAAGTGAATGGAACTCAAGACCCATCAGAAAAAGAGAATATTTCGATAGTTGTGCATTTTGTGAGCTAACTGAACTTCTTCTGACATTTGCCTTCGCTGAGATTTTTTGATCATTTGATGATCGAGCCACACTGCTCCAAGAAATTAAGAGTCTGTGCCAAATAAGAGACGATGCACACTAAACACAACCTTCGCTATGTATGTAGTTGATGGAAGTACATGAAGATCTCAGCAACAAAACAGAGATATGCAGGATTTATTTCAGCTGTATCAGTGCAGTTTGGGGGGAAATGAAGAAGCACTTTTAGGAGCGCAGTTGTATGCTGATGGATGCACTCCGATCTGTGGACCCAAAGGATACTACTTTTTTGGATGTGGGTGGCTGTGTCTCAGGCGGTAGAGCAGCTTGCCTGTTGATCGGAAGGTTAATGGTTCAATCCCCGGCTCCTGCAGGCTGCATGTTGAAGTATCCTTGAGCAAGATACTGAACCCCAAATTGCCCCTGGTAGCTAATCAAAAAGCTCAGAGAGGAGTGTGTGATCTGGGGGTGGTTTCACACCTGTAAATTTCATTCAGATCAAACTAAAAAAAGGTCTGGACCAAATGAGATAGGTGTGAAAGCCCCTTAGACTGCTTGCTTTCTGTGGTTATAAATACAACCATTGGCACTAATTCTATTTCCACCTGGTGTAGCAGCGAACCACAGACAGAGGTGACTTATGGGGAAGTTAGAGAGACAAGAGAGAAACAGATGTTTCCATACGCCTCCCCTGCTGATTTAAAATGATTATTGGGAAATGTAAATACAGTGGCAAGAAAAAGTATTTGAACCTTTTGGAATTTCATGGTTTTCTGCATAAATTTGTTATAAAATATGATCTGATCTTCATGTCAAGTGTATTGACAAACATAATGTGTCTAAAATAATCACATAAAATAAATTCTGATCCCTCATGTCTTGATAGAACACACTCATTAAACATTCAAAATGGCAGTGGAAAAAGTAAGTGAACCCTTATAATCAAGAACTGGTTGACCCCGCCCCAAAAGGCGGATTTTGTTTTTCTGAAGCCATTCTGTTGTGGAATTGTTCCGGTGTTTTGGGTCTTGTTGCGTATGCAGAAAACCATGAAATTCCAAAAGGTTTACATACTTTTCTTGCCGCTGTAAATAATGCTTTGCTTTTGGTGGCAGCTTAGTTTAGCTTTAGTTAGCGCCTCACCTTGTCCAGTGTAAAGCAGCCATCTTTTTCTGCATCTGAGCCAGAGTTTGATCAGCCCAAACAAGGTGTAGCGGGGGCCTATTAATGGGGTACTAAGAGGTGGATTCAATGACAATATAAACAGGCCACAGTGCCCACGCTGCTGCTGTTTACTTTTTTGCCAAAATCAAGATGCACAAACAAACTTTATTTAAAAAACTCAACAAAAATGCATGCTCAGTCAGGCAGATTTGTTCCAAGGTGAGCCTCTTTAAACCGTGGGCCTGAGGCGGCTGCGCCCTCTACCCGGCCCCACCCCTCACTACAGGTCACACCGAATTGCATAATATCACACATCAAATCTTTTTACTAAAAACACCATCCTCTGAGTGTTAACGGCCTCACAGTATAAATGTAGATGTACAGTACCTTGTACAGATAGAAGGAAGACAATAAATCCACTCGCTGCTGCTGTTAAATTCATAGCTGCTCCACACGTCTGTTAAATCACATCAGCAGGTAGAGGTAGATCATGTATGAGAATCTTGTATGTTAGTTAGTCACAACAAACATTTCTAATCAAAAAATGATGAATGTTGTCTTTGAAGACAGGCTGTCTCTCTGTGCTTGGTACAGTTGTGCTAAATGTTAAAAAGCTGCGCTGGCTTCCTTCCTCTTTACATAATTAACATGTATCAGATGCATTTCTGTAAATCACTTGTCTCCAAGTTGAAGTGAATAAATTACTGGGTGCGTGTGCTGCACGCATTCGCTGCTTATGTTCTTCCATTCTTATGGTGTCTTTGCACTTGTCTTTGAACCACAGTCCCATTTCTGAGGTTAATGGACATGTTTGGACAATTAGCCCTTCCCTTCAAATTTATAAAAATTAAAGGGTTCAACATCTGTGTCCATGTATGACGCAAACTGAAACACACTTGTCAGTCAGATTGTTGACACGACTCAGCATTGACAGTCTGTGTTCTTCACACAAGACATGTAATGTCTTTGCACTTTATTACATTTGTTGGGTGTGAATGCTGACTCAGGATTCACAGCTCATGTTCTTTGATTTATACTTATTGTTAGTGTGATTTGTGTTCAGACAGTTAGCCGTTTCCTCCAAATCATTTAAAACTCAGAGGTTCAACATCTGTGTCGAGTGTCCACACGAAAAGTAGGAAGTCATGACCCGTAGTGTGGTTCTCAAATAGAGTTCCTGTTCATTGTTCACATCTCTGTTGTGATTGTGGGGAGCAAGGCATTTTGATCTATGTTTGATTCGATGTTGATCAACCAGTAGGCCAGAAGTTGAGTCTGCTGACATGATAATATTCATTCTCCCAATGTAGGATTTAAAATATTCAAAGGATTCTGCCACTGATGACTACGTTCAGGACTTTGAATTTTGATTTAACATCTTAATCATGACTTTTACATTGAATGTAAAACGCTTCATCAAACACATTTTTCTGATTTTGTGAAAACAGTCCTCATATTACTAATATCCCAGTTTAGACAAAAAGGAGGACAAAATAACAGATTCTTTAATAATATTAAACAAAACCATCTTCTGAAAGAATTAACAGAAACAATTTGTCTCAAGCTAAAATCCAATACCTTCTACACATTTTTGCCCCCTGCAGCAGTGTTACTAATAGACTGTATGCTTTACACGCACAGTTACACAGTTGTCATGAAGGGCAAAATTAGCAATATACACTAAAACCATCTTCTGTACCAGGCTGTAAAAATGTTTTATTCTGCTGTAAAGTTGGGCATTTTAACATGGGGGTCACTGGGGATTGACTCCCTTTTGGAGCCAGCCTCAAGTGGCCACTCGATGAATTGCAGGTTTTGATGCCTTCTGGTCCTTGAAGCGCTGTTGATTCTGATTGTGCCAGGAATTTTCAGTAGTTGGGTGAGCATCACTGCTACAGGTCAGATTCACTGAACTTCTCTCAACAAGAGGGACTCACTGACACAGTGGAGGTCTTTGGAGCATCTGGAAGAGGTGTGAATATTCATTTAGATTACTATGGGCTGAGTGTATGTTACACTACAGGGGTAACTATTATTTTCAAATTGATTAAAAAAAAAGAAGGCAGAGAATGCAAAATTTATACAAGACAATGTTGAAGTTTCATGAAGGGACACAAAAGTAAATAAACAGGCAGGCATGAAACTTTTCTATGCATAGAAGTCACTGTGGCTTTGACAGGTGGTTGAGATTTTTTTTTAAATAAGCTGTGTTTCACACAAATCTCACATTAATAGAGATATTTTGAGATGTCATCCTCCCCAGCTCATTCACCGCTGCACAGTGATAGCCTACTCTCCAGAGCCAGAGGACTGGATGGAGCTGAAGAAGGCATGTTCAAGAGACCAGTTTGAGATGATTTGAGCTTCGTGACATGGTACATTATCCTGCTGGAAGTAGCTATCAAAAGATGGCTTCACTGTGGTCATAAAGAGATGGACATGGTAGGCATACAACACTCAGGTAGTCTGACGCGTTTAAACGATGCTCACTTGGTACTAAGGTGCCCAAAGTGTGCCAAGAAAATATCCCCCGCACCATTACACCACCAGCAGCAGCATGAACCGTTGATATAAGGCAGGATGGAGCCATGCTTTCATGTTTACACAAAATTCTGACCCTATCATCTGAATGTCGCAGCTGAAATGGAGACTCATCAGACCAGGCAACGTTTTTCCAATCTTCTATTGTCTATTTTTGGTGAGCCTGTGGGAATTGTAGCCTCAGTTTCCTGTTCTTAGCTGACAGGAACGGCATCCGGTGTGGTCTTCTACTGCTGTTGCCCATCTGCTTCAAGGTTCGACATGTTGTGCGCTTTGAGATGGTATTCTGCACACCTTGGTTGTAACGACTGATTACTTGTGGCACTGTAGCCTTGTCTTGACCAATTCTACATGCCTAAATGCATTGAGTTGCTTCCATGTGATTGGCCCCCAGTAAGACTGAATCTTTCAAAAAGATTCTCAAAATTAAAACAAAATCGTGCAACAAATGTCAAGATAATTTTCTTACAGAGAAATGATTTTTACATGGACCTGTACTTCCTCAATTCTCAAGAGATTAACTGCTAATAACATGCAAAGTTTTAGTAGTTTAATAATAAAGCTTATGATGATATAACGACGATAAAAGTATAAATGTCTGCGTGTGAGAGAGACAGATATGTAGAGATGGTGTTTAAATTTTACCACATAATAAACTTAAAATTGTTTAGCAAAAAGGTATATGTGCTACATTTAGTCCTCATTGTTATTCTGTTAAATTTTTTCCCTAGTACTTTGTAATTTTGGGGGGGTATTTTATCTCTTTAGAAGAAAATTGAGATGTATGTGATACTGTGCGAAATAAAAATTTAACTGAAATATTGTGATAAAATGTGTTGTTAAGTTTTATTTAGCGAGAGTTCTTCAGCTTGATTTTGCATACAGATGTTGTTTTCTTCTCGACACAGCTACTGAATTCAAACCAACCAATCACAGTGAGGGACATGCAAATCAGACCCTGCATGTTCCGCCCATATTCGACAACCTACCAATGGTTGACGACGTGGGCGGGGCCTGTAGGATAACAGCGGAGGATTCAAACTGAACATGGCTGCGGGGAAAGATGCCGACGAAAACACGCAAAATAGAAGGTAAGAACGAACGGTGACTGACGTAAAATGAGTTATTAATGGTACTTACATTGACACAGAGTTAACATTACTCTCAAACAATAAGGCTAAAGCTGAAATTGAGAGTTTAAACTGGTGAAAATAAGTGAGACTGATTGACAAGGACTGTCATTCTCTATCTAGCAGTCAGCCATCATTTAGCGATCGTTAGCTAACATTAGCTGCTTAACGTGACAGTAACGACGTTCAACAAGTGGTGAGTTAGGTAACGTTACAGCTCGGTGGTCAGACATTGGTGCTAGCAATTTAAATGCTTATTTCTAAAATGAATGAAGTGGTGTTAGTGGGAACTTGCATCGGGTAACGTTAGCACTGTTAGCTGAGGGCTCGTCAGTTTGGGTAACGTTAAACTGCACATTAAGTTAGCTAAATTAAATTTAGCTGGGTTAACTTCGCTAACGTTTGGTTATTATGAAGTTAATCGATTGCTCCTAATTGTCTTCACACATATACTTTTTTGTACATGTACGAACACAGTATCAACAGCCCTGCAACAAATCCTCCTTTGTTTAAGTTATCATATAATGTTCAACTGAAACTGTCAGAAGAAGTGTAACTTAAGTCCAGCTTTGTGGTAGTTTTTGAGGTAGATGGTGTTCTCAGAATTAACAATAAAATGGGGATGAATATAAGGTTAAAGGGGCACTACAACCATTTCAGACATTAGAAAATAAACCTGACAGTGTTGTGATATCAGCATGGGCTATTACACTGCGTGCACGAAAAGGTTCAATTTGACATAGTATGTATATCATATGTACACACTTTTTATTGTAATGGTGTTGATTTTCAGGAGAAACGCATGCAACAAAGATCCCAAAGAGAATTGCTATGGTCCACTTGTTTTTAAAGCATACAAGCAGCAACTGTCAGCATAGTTGTGTATCATGACCTCTCCCCTACAATGAGAACCTCAACTGTATTCAGTCTTCCTCTGTCTCCCCCCATCAGCGGTACAGTGTGCAGTATGGTGATCAATCAGCAGGAATCGCTGGGGGGCTCTCGTGCTGGCCAACCGCCAGTCATCTTCAACCCGGACTTTTTTGTGGAGAAACTTCGCCATGAGAACCCTGATATTTTCCTGGAGTTGGTGCTTAGTAACATCACTCGCCTTATTGATCTTCCTGGTACAGAGTTTGCACAGCTCCTTGGTGAGGAGGGCTCTAAAACGCCAACAGGTGGAAATGGAGGCTTCTTTCGCTCTTTCAACTTCCTCAAACGCAAAGGTGAGACGTCAACTTGGTGACATCTAGAAATAGTAGCAATAGCCACAGCAAATGCCCCTCTCTGTTAGTCACGTCAAGAAAAATAGATATTCCCAAAGTTTGTCATTTAGCAGCTGCTGTGGCAAGTAAGTAACAGAATCTTCACTTCTTTACTCGAGCTTTCAAACCATTAAAAAAATATTTCCGTCACATTCCTACTCCCTTCACTGTCCATGTTCTCTGATGAACAGCGCAGATTTCTTCTGTGTTTTGAAAGTGATGGTTGTGAAAAGACCGGATGAGTGCAAATGAAAACAAATCGGTTAGGTTCTGCAAGATCAGTGTTGATGGACTGTCTCTCCCTTCAGGTCCACTTCACATTTGTAACAGTGGAATTTAACAGCTGGCACTAAACACGCATCGAGAGATGTGGCTACCTATTCAATATTAAATTTTCTTTGCCTGTGTCTAATCTCATGTACCAATGTGTTCTTTAACCTAGTGGATGAGATGTGAGCAGCCTTGTTCTTTAGTGTTAATGTCTGCTTTTAGTATCCTATCACTTATCACTACCGTCATTTCAGACAAAGGCGTTGTATTTGGAACGTCACTGACAGAGAGCTGCGTTGCCCAGATCTACCAGCTCATCGAGTACCTCAGCAAAAGTGAGTCATCTAAATAAAATCCCCCGATTCCCCACAGTTGTGTTCACATCCTCACTGCTGTGACTTTCAGATGCCAACAGCAGTAACTGCATGCTGGTGTTTTGATAAAGAACTTTTAATAAAGTATTTGATTTCAACACATAATACACCCATGAATGATTTTAAACAATAACAACCCTTTTGTCTGCCGTTAATCCATTAACACTGTAGATTGTATTTTATAGTGTAGTTTTTTTTTGTGTGTTTATGAGCTTAAATTTAAAACAAAGACACATTCCAAGAACGAGTGAGCACAAATGAATAGACCAAACTCATTTGGAATGATCAGAAGTTTTTACTTGCTGATACCCACCTGCCTTTCCACACTTAGACCTGCACGTGGAGGGTCTGTTTCGGGTGCCAGGGAACAGTGTTCGGCAGCAGTCCCTGAAGGAGCTCCTCAACAGCGATGCTGATGTTGACCTGGAGTCTGGAGACTTTCACCCCAGATGATGTGGCCACGTTGCTCAAGACTTTCCTGGGAGAGCTGCCTGAGCCCCTGCTCACACACAGACATTTCCACGCACACCTTAAGATAGCTGGTAATTTCTTTTTTTTTTTCTTTTTTTTTTAGTATCTGTCATGTTTTAATCAAACTTTTAGATAAGCAGCATGGTTTGCTACATGTATTAGTATAAAATGTTACATATTTAAAAAAATAAAAATAAATACAACCCCTTAAATTCATTAGTCAAGAAGATTGCATTCTTGAAAACCTTTTTTAGTACTAGCAGAAAAGGAAGATTTTAAATGTTAAATGTCATGTAGAATTGCTTAAATCAGTATCAGTATCATTATTACTAGTAATATTCTTTTATACTTAAATTAATTATTAACTTATCTGTTTTTTGTATTAACAAGCTTACAAGAAAACGTATTGTTCAGGTCCAGTCAGCCCGGTTTGTCTGGTTCTGTCTTGTCAGTCTTGTTTGTCTTTTATATATATGCATTTCCATATCAGATAAAGAATTGTGTATGCGATCTTCTGTTTGGTGCCAATAAACGAAGATTTTAAATATGCAAGAATAATTTCCAAGGGATTCAGTAAATCTGTTCATGACTTCACTTCCTCCACCCTTGTCCCTCATCCAGATATGACTTTGTTTGACGAACACGGCAACAAGACAGCAATACCCAACAAGGAGCGTCAAATAGAGGCGCTGCAGCTTCTGTTCCTGCTGTTACCTCAGGCCAACCGCTCACTGCTCAAACTGCTGCTGGACCTGCTCTACCACACCGCCAAGCAGCAAGACAAGAACAAGATGTCCGCATACAACCGGCCATCATGTTTGCCCCACACGTCCTCTGGCCCAGACACGTAAGATTTGTAGTTCATAACTGCATAATAAGGGTTCAAAAACAAATGTGAAATAGTATTTTGCTCAATTTGGCAGCACAATTGTTTACCAGAATTATTCATCCCCCTTTAAGAAAACTGCCTGAAAACTGCCACATACT